TATATATATAATATATAAGTGTTCATGCTTTTTTTCTACAGTATCACAGTCATGTCAGACTTCCGCAGAATCCAGATGCAGAAGTTTACTCACAGCTTCCACTGATCACTAGTTATTAAAGTGCAAATGTTTGCAATCAGTCTATTAGTGATCCTGTGCAGCCTCTGGGAGCTGGCAGTGGTACTGTGAATGTGGTAGCTTCTACTATTACCCCTCTTTGTTTTGTTAATATTACCTTTACTTCCTCATGAACTTTTGCATAACTGGAAAGAACAGCAATAGAAGGGGAAAAATCAATATGTTTTAAACTTCACTAACACCTGTGACGGGTGTAAATACATCGTTTCCTAGACCAAAAACAAAAACATAATGAACATCATTTTTGGTAAAAGGCTGGAGTACCATAGACGCTATCACCCCTTGGTGTATGAAATATATTTTGAAGCCTCCAATTTGGTATTTGTGGCTGTTTCAGTCATGAGTTTCTTTGTTTTTAAGAAAACGCTACGTTACTTACATGAGAAGCAGTCCTTAGAAACACTGTAATCACCTGTCATCCAAGAGAGCCACACCCCTAAGTTTGTATTACTTTAAGCTTTGATGGCAGTAAAACCAAACGATAATACACAAAAGCAGGTGAACAATCAAAGATGCCACACAGGTATATGTGTCATCATCTTGCCTAGCGACCTCTTATCAGTAGGCTAAAATGACCCGTTTGTAGCGTTTATGCACCTATAATGTTATTTTAATTTCACGACGGTAACATTTAATTTGTATCTACAAAACGTGAATATTAGGATATGTTTCATATATGATGATACCATCATGTTGCCAGGCAACCACATAATGGCAAACTAAAATGACTTTTCAATAGCAGAGCAGGGCTTGGGCTTGGATATTGCTGTACAGCTATTACAGAGAAGCGAATCAGCCACAGAGACCAAAACAGTTTCTTGCATTAGGCTGTAAACGTTTTTATTTCTGCTGTAAAGTTGGACTGTCTTTTAATAACAGAGTCTGTGGGACTGACCTTTGGAGCCAGGCTCAAGTGGCCACTAGTGGAACTGCAGTCAACCACACTTTTTTGTTGGGTTTGTTTTTTAGCTGTGATGGTTACTGCTTGCATCATGAAATTAAAGTCATAGAGACTTGTGGTGAAATATGTTTTTGATCCGCTAAAGATTTCCCGTTAGGGTTCATTTATGTCCTAAGATTAGTATAAAATCTGCACCGAAGCCTTATTAAAGCATATGTACGAACTACAAAAGGCAGCTGAGTGTGGTTTAGACGACAGATGCAGGGTGACAGTTCCTGTTGCAGATTTTCCTCGACCGGCTTGCATCTCTGCAGACTGAAATTGCTGGGTGTGCTCATACTGGTGGTTTTCAGTACCTATTTCACGTGAAGGCACGGCTCAGTTTGTGATCGTGCGCGCATGCGGTCTGCATAACGGGTGCTTTCATTTCGGCAGCTGGTCACAGTGATCACTAATTAGCAGAGACAAAGGAGCACGATGCGTGCAATTCTGTCTGTCGGGTGATTTAATTTCTCCTCTGAGCATCAAACACAAAGCAGTCAACCACAGCAGCAGAACTGGCCTCATGCAAATACCTACAGCTTTGGCCTTAAGCTGAAAGAAGACGACTTATTTAAGATCTAAGTTAAATAAAACCGTGTAGTTTGTCTGCTATGGCTTCCAAATCACCTACACTGTGACCTACTTTAAAGAAAAACAAAAAACTAACCAGAGTATGGCTGTATTTATGTCTATCAGATCTTTCATTAGACGGTAGCCACAGCCCTCTATTGCTGATAGAGCAGGTGACACCCACAGTAGCCACAAACGACACAGATTAGTTTTCCTGCTGGGGTCACTTTTTTATTTTACTCTGGTCTTGAATATTAGGCATGCAACATGTAAACAGATCTGCAAAGGACAAGGAAAGATCACGATTCCAGAGGCTGCTCATCAGATATTCACAGCTCTCAACAATAACATGATAAACTCAAATCAGTGTGTTTGAGCAACCTGTATAATCCTATTTTAAACCTTAACTTTATGGACTCTGGACTTTCAGTAGTAATAAAACTGTAAATATTCAGCACTCTATTGTGCTTTCGACTTGTCTTTGTGTCCAAAGGTCGTCCTTATGGGACACTTGTTTACTCTTTTTGTGTGTGTGTGTGTGTGTGGCTGTTTTAGAGGCCAAAGGCAGTGGAGGAAACGCTCATTCACTGTTACAGCAAATGTTCATAAAAACAACAGTCGCCATTCGTTTTAAATAAAGAGGTCGTTGCACGTGCAAGCGATTAGTTTCAGACTGCTCTGTTTGTGCTTACAGAAGCCCCACCCACCTGTTGTTCTTACTTTGTGTTTGTTAGGGGTAGCCAATCACAAAAGGGTTGGCTTAAAAGGAGGAGGAATGAAGCTAGATTGTTTTCCTTTCTTTTTTTACACAAAAAGAAGGGTGGAGTGGGCGATAAATAAGCATTATTTTTAAGTGGCATGCTGGTATAGTGTGTTTTCCTTGTGAATCAATAAAAAAAAAAGCAAACACTTAGAGGTTTAAACAATCTAACGGTAATCAAAAGCTTCAGTTCAAAATCTGTGCTGATCTGGACGGCTGTATTTCCTCATATATTCAGACTTTAATTGGAGCGGGAGCAGTTATCAGCGTTTTTGTTTCCTCCTGGACAACTCTTGGACATCCAGGTTTGCTCCCATTGGATGGCATTGACCTCTAGGGCTCATGCTCAAGCTCTTCGCAGCTAGTTAGGTGGCAGTGCGTGATAATGAGGGTGTAACTGTGCTCTGGGTGTTGCTGGCTAATGGCTCCGACAGCACACTGAGACAATAGCCAGGGAGGCCCGCCCCACAGAGAGCGAGAGAGATAACGATGTTACTAACAGCGAGTTTCACATGGGAACTGCTTGAATCGGGCTGATAGGAAAGAGGAAGGCCGAAGAAGGTTCAAGAAAGCCCCAAAGTAGTAACTGCCACAAAGTAGGCTTCCTTATTCCCACGGTGAACTGATGAAAGGTGAGATACAGAAAGAACGGATCAGAAAAAAGGTGGAGTGGAGAGATAAACAAAAACTGAGTGGCTGTCCTGTGTGGAGCTCTGTTTGGCTGCTTGAAGTCAGTTTTTAATCTAAATGGGCATGTAATCCAAATAAAAATATCATTTTTGTCCTCCAATCAGCTCGTTTCATCTCATGTAAATGTAATCCAGCTCAGAAAGATTATAGCTGGTGCTGACTCGGAGGCAGTCAGAGCTACTTTATCGCTACTGTGCCTCTGTTGGTTATTCGTTACATATTTTTTTCATTTTATCGCTTAAGAAGAGTCATAACTGAACAAATAGGAGGCGTGTTGCTTCTTCTTACTGTGTTATGAGGCTCATCTGACTGGTGAAGGTTTTTGTTCATGAACTGATGATTTTGAGTTATTTTAAGCTGTTATAGAAAGTTGTGGACTGGCTTTGTTTGTCCCTAGTTGTTGAGTTTTTGTACTTTTCATTGGTGGGAGATATATTGTAGAACACAGAGGCACTGCTACAGTCTTTGAGCTTAAAATGGAGGTTGGATTGGCATTTATGAAGTACTCCTTTAATCTTTTTGACCATTCAAATGTGGTGCATAAGCTAAATTTACCCATTCATTTCTGTAGGGCTTTAGTCTTTGTACTTTATCCGCTTTACATACTTAACTACATCCACATTAGAATCCCCATGTAGGCTAACATGTATATCTTTGGACTTTTGAAGAAAGCTAAAGTACCTTGGGACCATGCAAGCTCCTCACAGGAAGTTCAACCAGGAGATTTGACTCAAACACGATCAACCTATGAAACGATAGTGCTAATATATAGTGCTCACTGCACCATCATGCAGCCCAGGATGTGAAGAGCACAAGAGTTTGTGATCTTGACATCCTAGATTCTCTAATCTAATGTGATCGTTGTTGAATTTCTGAAAAGCTAAAAACAAAAGCAAAAACCAGATAATAACCTCTCTCCTTTCCCACTTTATTAGATGTTAAAGGCACACTTGAGCAAGCCGCTTATCCACTAATTGTATTCATGGACTTTGCATTGATCGCTGTTGCGCCCGGTTCCCAGGATTTAAAGTTGTGGGCATCAGGCAGTTGAAAAGGAGTATTCATGCTCAGTTAACTCCTTCCGTGGTTGAATAAAGGCTAAAGGAAGAAAGACTGAGGCAATTAGTCTTAAATGCCCCTCTCAGACACAGCGGCACGCTCCGGGGCTTTTTCTATCTCCAAAATCTGCTGTTTTGAGTCATTATCCCTCAACCCTCCGTAGACCTTTAGATAGCTGTGCCCTGAAGCACGAGCTGAGCTGAGAAAATCCCATCAAGTTCAGATTTGGTTTGAAAGACATCTGGTGTGGAGCTACGGACCAATGGCAGCGCAGCGAGTTCACCAGCATGTCATTCACTGGAGTATTTAAAACCTGGCGTGGCAGACGGCAGTCATGTGTAGTATTAGGTTAGTTTTGATGCTTCAGATAAGAAGTGATTGATACTGTTCTCATGATTGTTGCTGGAGCTCGTTAATTCATCTTCTTCTGGAGCTTTTTATTAATGAAATCCACAAAACGTCTATATGAACGTGTGGGTTTATGTGTATGTGTGTGTGTGTAGGTGAATGTTTTTTTTTCTTTGGTTTAGCATTGTGTCCTGCAGATAACCTGCCTGCAAAACCGCCACTGTTGTTTTTCCACTCAAACCTGACAAACAGCACGCAGCAGGAGCTAACAGCTGTTGCAACCACGTGCTTGTTGTGTTATAATTAAGCTGACACGTATCTAAACACAGTCTGACCTTTGCTCCCGCAGAACCTGATGGCCAAAGCGTTGTACGACAACGTGCCGGAGTCCCCCGAGGAGCTGGCCTTCCGGAAAGGGGACATCCTGACCGTCATTGAGCAGAACACGGGCGGCCTGGAGGGCTGGTGGCTCTGCTCCCTGCACGGCCGCCAGGGCATCGCCCCCGGGAACCGCTTGAAGCTGCTGATCGGACCCATGTTCGAGGCTCAGTCGTCGGGCGCCGCTGCCGCCCCTTCTCCATCTCAGAGCTATCAGCAGAAGGCTAACTCGGGGTCTCAGGGCCTCTACCAGGTGCCCCCGTCCCTCCAGAGCCCACAGCAGCAGAGTCAGCAGAGCATCTACCAGGTCCCACCGGGACAGGACGTCTACCAGGTCCCACCGAGGAGTACTCTAGCAACTGATAACACACCAAGCAAGGTGAGACAGAGCTCATCAGTCAATCTGTCAGCTAGTTTGGGTTTCCTTTATCGACTCAGCCCAAGAAAGATACATCACTATGGAGCACAGCAATCAATAGTGGCCATCTGATTTCACTGATTAGTCCTCCTTTAAAGCAAAGGTGAGGGGCTCATCAGTGAAACCACCTGGTAAGATGATTGGAGAGAAAAACTGTTATTACTGAGTCGTACCTTTTTTCCTAATGCGCATTTTGCATTTAAATGCACTTTACACGCTTTCATCTGTAGCAAAGGGTTGCACATTAATATTTATCAGAGCGTCCGAAGAAGAGGAAATAACAAAATGGAGAAGGTTTAGAGTAACAGAAAATGGAGTCTGGTCTGTTCCCCAAACTCTGGATATTTGGGATCACATTGGATTTCTAACGTAACATCAGCTGTGGCGGGTGTGGGAATGAGATGCGATGGGAAATGGCATTTGCGCGTTTACACCGTGATCCGTCGGGCTCGGCTCTCACCAGCGTGCGCACGGAAAGCAGAAAGGCCAAAGAGGAGATTGCAGCTCTGCCATGCGAAATGTGTGCAGGGTGTGCCGGGCCTGGCGCTCACCACAGAGCAGGGTAGTGTTTTTGTGCACGGCTCCCATTTGGCTTTATTCCTGTATTGGCACACTGTGTTCAGCAGAGCCAGTCTAACCCGCAGAAAGGCTGCGAGTATGGAGAGAAATTGTGGAAAAGCAAACAGTACAGAGCTGTTTTTTGGATTTTGGTGGAGCACAGCTGCATTTAAATGCTTTAAACATGGTCACTGGCAAACACACTGGACTTGGTCATTTGCAGTATAGCTATATATACACAATTCTCCAAACAGCTTCTCCATGTATTTATCATTTTATGGCCTAGATCGTATATCATTTAAAGTATATATCTTAATTTGCCTGCTGAAAAAAGCATTTAATAGTTTTAAGTCACCTAGTTATCAGTTTATCAGTATTTATACTCAATTATTATTATTTCATCGTCATTTTAATTTCTGCACCAAACACTTTCCTAACTATGGAGTAATAAGTCTTCTCTTGTGTTCGGTGTCTCCAGTTACCGATACTGCTGAGCCAGCTGAAGCCTTCTTTACTTGCTCTTGTTTTACACCACCAGACGTCTCGTACACTTGATTTAAATGCATTAAACAAGGGTGAGCAGTTAGCATGTCATTACCTCATTACACATGGAAGTCACTGGCAGGTGTGCGCTAAAATACGAGGGGAGGAAATTTCCCTGGTTATTCAAGCGTTTAACTAGTACGAGCATCTCAGACCAAGTCTTCCCTTCAGGAGGTGGATGGTAATTACATGCTGAATGAGCTTTTGATATCCCGAGGGCTATTTCCTTTAAAACAAATCAGCCCCAGCCATCATAGAAATGAGCTAAGGTGTTCATTTTAGTGGATAAACAGGCAGCAGGCGCCAGGGGCTTAGAGGACTTACTGTGATTCCCTGCACAGGAGTTGCTGTGATAAAGTCAGTGGGAGCCAGGGGGCTGTGGGGAGAGACCTGTCAATCAGACACACACACACACACGCACACACACACACACGCACACACACAGAGCAATAGCAGACCTGTCAAGCAACACCTCTCTTTTTCCGTAACAGGCTGCGAGGCTTAGCCGAGGAGCGGTATTAAAAAGGCTTTGAGATAACATGGAAAATGAAATGCGCTCCTAATGAGAGTGTATTTTTGTGCCGTAATCGTGTTATTGGAGAGATTATATTAAGTCTTGGACGTTCGACTGGTCCTCCAATCTGCGGTTATCAAAGTGCTGCAATTTTCGGCGGTTGTTCCCGTCTATTGAGTAGAAAGATTTCGGCTGCGTGTGTGTCGGTGCGTCATGATGAGGATCCGCTGTTTTCCAGTGCTGTCTGAATCTTGGACAGAAGCACAATCGCCTTCAGTCGCCACAGACTGTTCTGTTGGATCTGGTTATCTCTAGTGAAACACTGAGAGAAAGGAGAGATATTGTTGGTTCGTGGTCACCAATTAGCTTTCCAAGATTTAAGGAGGAGCACCTCCAAAGCTTGAGTAGACCTGAAGCTCTCCCGATTCGATCAGATTAATTTAACCCTGCATAAAACATTTATAGAAATAATCACACAAAAAAACCTACAAGTTGGTTCATTTTCAGGTTTATGGCTAACTAAACAGAACAGTTTGCCTCGGTGGTTGTTTTCACTATAAAATTTTTCATTTCAACCAGTTACTGACCAATTAGAGCGATGCTCCATTTACAGTCATATAAAAATAGCGTTCAGCTAATTAAGAAGCTACTCTATTGTTTAGCTGAATTTTATTTTCTGTTTTGAAGCCAAAACTCGTGTGTGGTTTGTGTTTTAAATTTGCTTTAATTCTGACAGTGAAAAATAGCTCAGGCTCAGTGTTTGGAGCCATTTATTATGTCCCAAGTGACAGAAAAACATCATCTCTCAAAGCTAAATTAAAGTGAAGGCTGTGATAGAAACCTATAGTTATGTTAAGCCATCCTGGATATACATACAGGCCTCAGGTTTGGAGCCACTGTATGTTTTTGGTAGAGCGGAGACGTTTACTTTCATCACAGCACACTTTTTAAAGGCGTCTAATTATGAAATTATGGTAAACGCTGTTTTAAAAAGAAGAGCCTCTGATTGTTTGCTCTGAGCTCCACGGTGTTGCGCACAAATGAAATCCCGATCGGTCGAACGGTGTGCGCCCTGCGTCAGAGCATTTATGGAAATATTTGTTGCTGATGTGAAACCCCGGCTCTGGCCTTTGCTCTTGAAAGAAGCAAAGGCAGGCTTGTTTACTACAGCTCGTCAGTGTTGATGACAGGCCGGGCTCGCTGACTTACGGCCTCGTGTCGTTTTAACGGCGGCTGTTTTCATGTCTTCACGCGCAAACATGCGTTTGGTTTCGCAAATGGTTTTTGAGACTGATGCCGGCTTCCTAGACTGATAATCTCCTCTCGTATTACTCCGAAGCCATCATCCCCTCCTGTGGAGAGAGGCCCCCGTATGTCATGAATGTGTCCTCGGAGTGGGGGGCGGAGGCGGGGGATGTTGCGTGCCAGGCCTGCAGTGCAAATCCAGATTGGCGACTGGTTGTTTTCCCTTTCATGTGGCGTGGGGCTCCGGTATATAAGGCACACTGAGGTTTGGCGCTCGCTGCCACTCTGGCTCTTCGGTTTGGTGCTGCGGCCTTGTCCTTGGGTGACCCTCCTGGGAGGGTGAGCTACAGCCGCCCCACCTCCCCCTCCCGTCCCCTCACATAGCCTTAAAGCTGGGTCCGTGTGGGACGGACGCCATGGAGCTCTCGGCCACACAAAGAGCCTCCTCACATGGAAGCCAGGAGCAGCCTTTTATCATGTGGCTCCCAGAAGCCCGTGTTTCATCTCAGCCTTGATTTCCTCCTCCTCCTCCTTCTTCTTCACCATCTCTGAAAGGTGTGTCTGTTGTCGCCCCGGTCACTGTTGTGACTCAGGCGCTGAGGTCACGGCGCCCAGTGATGGGCTGGGTTCAGAGTTCAAATATCTGCCCTTATCTGCTCCTTTCAGGCGGCCTTTTCATTCCTGCCTTCCTGCCTTCGTGAAGTCTGCTCCTTGTATAGGCATTTCCTCCTCTCACCACGTCGTAGCCGTAGATGCAATCTGTTCATTGGTGCCGTAAAGAGCACAACAAAGGGTTTAATGAACTCAACACACAACTCAAGGAAGTGCCCTGATAGCGCTTTGTAGACTGCGAGGGTGTGCTCGTGTACCTTGATAAAGTTGTGCTTTTTGAAGTAACCAGGTTATGTGAGAAGAATGTCTTGTTTGTTTGCCTCGGCCATATTTTCTCTGCCTAATCACGCGCACGGCAGTCTCAGCAGCAGATAAGTGAGTTATTTCTTCCTGTAGGAGGCCGTCTCCTTCAAATGCTCGCCATTGTCACGTTAGTGATAAATCGCTGGCCGGCGAGAGGGCACGACCATAAATCAGTCGCACCAAAAGTAATCTGCTCTGGGGTGAGCGTACTGACAGGACTTTCTCCTCTGGAAAAGTTTGAAGCAGACAGTGTGATAAAGTTGCAGAGGAAGGCCAAGAGAAGACAGGAAATGCTTTCTTGAAAGCATTTATAAAAACCAGAGCTTACATATTTTATCTTCTTTTTTTTTTAAGCCGGCCAACAATCCAAAAAACCAAAACAGATTCAATTTCACATCACAGAAGGCAAACAAAACCAGGAGGTATTTACATTTAAGAAGCCAACGTTGGTTTCATTTTGGCATTTTCAGCCATACTAGCCGCTCTTTGGTTTACAGTGTGGGTCTGTCACTCTGCTGCTGGACAGAAATATCTCTCCGACCACGGGATGATTGGCATTAGATCTACTGCAGACATTCGCCTCCCCTCGATGATGAACCCTCATACTTGCACGGCACTTTTCTACTCTAACTGAACAGTCAAAGCACTTTTATTACAAGCTGCGTCCAACCATAAAATAATTTATTCTACATTTCAAGTGCTTTTGAACCAACAAACACTCATATAGTCCAGGGTTCAGTAGTACACAGAAGAGTTTTAAATAGAAGTTATGCAGGTGAAAAGTATTCCATATCCTGGCTACTCACTACTTCACCTGTGAGGTATAAAAAGCTTTCCGCTGGTGAGCACCACCTGCCTTCTTCATTTACATCCAACCAAAGTTTCATGTCATAAATCCACTGTGACTGTGAGGTGCTGCTACAGCTAACCATTTGTTGTCTCAACAACTTTAAAAATTAACTGCCGTGTTTTGTTTAGATTTTTATTGCGAATTGATTAAAAACAAATGTTTCCACTATTTTCATTCATTTTGGAAGCCTTAGCCTCAGCTATGTAGGGGAGGAAGGGGCAGGTGAAATAAGAGCTAAGGGACTGTTATGTTTTTTCACAATGTATGGTTTCAAAATCTAAAGTTTGAGGATAAAATTCTGGTCATTTTTTTTGAGGGGGTGGAGCCCCAGCTGTG